ACCACGAATAGGACGTCGATATCTGTTAGCCTGGATTCCTAACAAATCTTCAATATGAATCGCCTTTGAACGTAAGTCACTCTACATATCTATGGGATATTTGACAGTTCTGCCTACGGTTTTCCCAGGATGATAGCACCAACTGCAACCGTAGTAGCCGTTATACTGCAACCTGTTTTGAATAATCGGCCGAGCTACAGAGTCCACGACGCAAGCCAACGGTACGAACTTGTACAGTGTATCTCTCACATACACGCCGTCATGAAATAGTCGTTTTGTCTGTTTTGCAAACGCCTCTATAATCGTACTCATCAACGTAACATCGGGTTCGTGGGTTCTCACCAACACACCAGCCAAAACAGTATTACGAAAACGATCAACTGGAGGCCATTCATTGATTATTATTATCATTCGAATAGGTCACATCGACCGCTGCGAAAACTGGTGCGCCATCGATGTTAAAATTTTACGTAAAATGGACTTCGCACTGTCTTTTCAATTCTCTGTACATGCTACCAGATGACACATCACAAACAGAGCCGTCATCGTTCGTGGAAGGACTTGTTGGCAAGTTCGAATTATTTTCTATTACGGTTTTCAACTGATCCCTATTCTCCGTTGTTATGAAATGCTCACTTTTGGCTCCGGCAGTATTACGATGACAACACTCCGTGTTCGGACATACGACCATTTCGTGTTTTGGAATTGTCTGTCTAGTCACTAATAATGTTTTACATTTGACACAGTAATAATTATAGTCAACAGGACTACTCTTAAATTGTTTGTCTTAATAATAGGTGTTAAGCATATTTTCCTGGGGTGCTTTAGCACACAGCTTAATCAAATCAAGAATATCCTGTACTGCAACTTTGGTAAGATGATGTCGGACCGCTAACGTATGTACCATTGTCAGAACATCTAATTCTGTAACATTCGCCTCGGCAAATAGTACTCTCGTTAAAGTGGCACGATGCATATCATGGTCGGCTGTTGTAATATGTCTTCAACAACGATCTTTTCCAATTCCTCGTCATCACACGTGCTTCCAGTATCAGACGATTCACCCACCGGCTCGAGTACAATGCTTTCAACATCATCGTCTTCGGTTGTCACTGTTTCCTGTATCTTAGATACGTTCCACCATTTGAACAGTACCTAGTAAAATTTTATTGGTCATTCAAAGTTAACCATCAAGGTTGGACTCACACTGGATTGCCTTGTATTCTTATCATCGATAGAGATATTGACATTCTGCAAACGCCATTGCATTTAATTTGAACAGGGAAACCTAACTTATTACATTGAACAAACTATGACGCATACGCCGCGCCGCAAACATATATTTTTTCTATTGCAGTTAACTACGTTTTGTAGAGTCTGAATGTACGATTACAGTGATATAACACGATATGTGTGTTGTATTAGTTTTAAGTGGAAATAGTATACATTTGTCACATGTATTTTTCTACTTGCTGCATTTTTTCGTGAGAACAGATGTGTACACACCACTAGTGTTAATGTGTGATGCCAGACATCTTAGTCTTTCTTAATAGTGTTACTACTTCTCGAAACTTGTTGACGTCTTACGACTATTAGGACAATACTCATTCAACTTTGTAGGTCAATCCAAATCTCCATTGTTATTACCCACTATACACACAGTATTTATGTTTGACTCAATCATGACGATGTCATTTATGACACTTGCAACTATCCATAATCTATTACTTTATTGGACTGTAAAGTAATTTGGACTGCAACACAATTCATATGACTGTGACTACGGCAGCGCCTACTAAATATAAGAGAACGCGTATACCTGATGAAAACCTGGAGAAAGTAGCAATTGTGATTTGGAATTCCCGATGGTGTAGCAGAAAACCTAGCCACGACTGCGGTAGTGCTGGCAATCGGCCAGCAATGAGCATCACTTCCGTGATGCCGAAGCCTGATTATTAGTCTAGACTTTCTTTATAACTTCACTCATTCAATGTTAAATACGGAGACATTAATGATTTGGGTGTTACGCTTCAACCAACATTGATAATGATAATATTGTATGTAAATCGCTTAGGATATGTGATGTCTTAACAAGACAGACTAAGGATTTTTACAGTGTGGATGTCATTCGTAAGTTATACATGTTACAGTAAATGCTGGACATGCAGTGAATGTTAACAATCACTAGGAAATGCTAGCTCTTACTAAGTCAATCAGTTAATGTCGATGCTTCGATAATATGAACAGCTTTGACTAGGAAATGCTATCTTTCCCTAGGCAATGTAACATTTATTGAGTCTCTCTAGGGAAAGTTGACTGGTATCTAGAGATCGTGGTTTCAAGAGGTAAAAATTAAATAACATAAAAATATGACAAAAAAACAACAACTTTAATTGCAGTAAATTACCAACAAGGTAACAACCAATCAAAAGAATTGTATTTATGAGAAATATATGACAAACAACATACATAAACTATACTCAGTGAACAAAGATATAAAAACCTAAACTATTTTATTTCTGACAAATATATGTTTTTGAGGTTATGTTCACTGGCCAATCACTGATTCACTGATAACATCTTAAAGAAGACTTACTAACACATTTACTGACGTTCTGTAGTAATTGTTAGCATTAACTAGGAAAAGTAACTTCATATTCTCATTTCCTAACTTTCACGGCACGTTAGAGTAAAAGCTAACTTTGACCAGTAAAGCTTCATTCACAATGTCCAAATTAGCACTTACAATTAGTAATTACACTTAGACGTAGAACCTTGTACGCTTTCACAACAATGTGATCATCCACAACCAACCAAATTAGCAACTATACTTAGCACTTAACGCAGAATCTTGTAAGGTCTAAGCTTTCGCGTTATAATTTGGCGACTAATTTGAAGTAAGCCGGTAAAGCGTCATTTGTATTAGTTCATCTAAACGCAGACGACGGCTCATAACCTTAAAAAGAAGCGTTTCGTCTTTCGTTCATATTTGTTAAGTGTTGTGCAGGTTACTATAATCGGACATAATAATAATGTCTCTAATATTAAAACGGAGGCAAATGAGAAGTGCTGCTCTACGCACAATGTTGTGTGGATATTATTTATTATTACACAAGGAAAAGAGAAGGCGATGGTGGGTTAGGCCCATCAATGAAAGAAGAAAAGAACAGGGCGATTACGAAAACTTGGTGCAAGAAATGCGTCTTAATGATGTGGAGATGTTTTTTAATTACACAAGATTAACTGTAGAGCAGTTCGATTGTTTGCTAAAGCTGGTAGGGCCTTCTCTACAGAAAACAAGTTTCAGAGAACCTATAACTCCAGGAGTCCGACTAACATTAACTCTAAGGTAAATATAATGAGTATACATAAAAATCCACATAAGAACATATTATTAATAATTGCAGACATCTAGCTGCTGGGGATAGTATTCCAACGCTGGCATTCTCGTATCGAATGGGAAAATCCACAGTGTGTAATATAATCAATGAAACAAATACAGTTATCTGGGAAATTTTACACCCAGTTGTTTTAAAAGAACCTAACAAAGATGAGTGGGAACGGATTGCAGAAGAGTATTTTTTCTGAATGGACTATTCCAAATTGTTTGGGTGCAATAGATGGAAAGCATATTGTAATGAGAGCTCCACAGAAAAGTGGGACGTTATATTTTAATTATAAAAAGACCTTTGGTATTGTACTTTTTGCCGTGTGTGATGCCCACTATCGATTTACCTACGTTGATATCGGGGCATATGGATCCCAAAGTGATGGAGGTATCTTAAGGTTGTCATCGTTTGGAGACAAATTAAACAATAATCTGCTGAATATTCCTGATGATGCAGCATTTCCGGGCACCTCAAAAAAAACTCCACATTATTTCATTGGTGATGAAGCCTTCCCTTTGCAAGAAAATCTGATGCGTCCATATGGAGGTAAGAATCGACCAGTCGAAGAGAGAATTTATAACTACCGAATTTCACGTGGTCGAAGATGTATAGAAAATGCGTTCGGAATTTTAGCTGCTAGGTTTCGAATCTTTCATACAGTGGTTTTTAAGGATCCAGAAAATGTTGACAAATTAGTGCAAGCTGCTATCTGTCTCCATAATTTTATCAAACAAAATGAGGATAACCTGCCTGCCAGTCAGCACCGCTATGTGCCCTTAAATTTTGTTGATAAGGAAATAGATGGGCAAGTTATACCTGGACAATGGCGCAACGAAGTGTCACAACATTGTTCCCTGCGTAGAGCATCAGACCAGAGAAGACTCGGCGCAAGAAACGCTAAACAAAGTGCATCTGAATATCGAGAATTTATTAAAGATTATTTTAATTCTCATATTGGCTCAGTACCATGGCAGAATGAAGCTATTCAGAAAATGTAATTCTAAACATTCATTAAATAATAATGCATAATATACTATTTTTTATTTATTTCAATGCATACCTATCATTACCAAAACTAAACTAAAAACAAAAAATGAACTTCAGTCAGCTGTTTTTACTCTCACGTAATTGTCTCCTTGTCTTTAGAAGTAACTCCATTACTCCATCTTTGAATTCCTCCATTGTGTCGCTGGGCATTTTGAACATTTCCTGCTCTATATGAGCACAAAAAGAATGTATATATTGGTCTGACAAATTTTCGTTGCCGAAATTTTTAGTTACAAGATCCAAAGTACTACAAATTTTTCTTCTAATTTTTGTTTTTTGTGTGAAATATTTGAACTGTAAATATGTATTTATTTAATAGATTACAGAAATAGAAAAACAAAATTCTGTTACCTTATTGATGGAACGGAACGTTTTTTTCCAAATAGTGTGGGTGTTTGTTCTTGGCCGGTATCTTGAATTGAGGCACCATTTATAGAAGCTCCACTTTTCTGTAAAAATCTTTGTTCTTCAACATCCAGCATGAGCACTTCTTCAAAACTCTCAGCACTGTAGGTTGATGCTGGAGACAAGAACGACGTGCTTGGTGCACTTGTTTCTGTTAATACTATTAGCGGGCTGCACTGCTCCAATTCAGAATTTTGTGAACCAATGGACAAATTGCTGATCGTCCTAAAAAATGCTGCATTAGAAAACTGCATTCAATGCGCACATCAAATCAACTTTCTCGGTTTTATAACCTCATCCAAAAATTTGAGCATGTCGAACAGGTGCCACTTGCTTTGAAAGTGGGCACCAGCTCCACTTCTTTCATATTTCTCTTGGTCCTTTTTTATTCTGACGTATTTTTCACGTAAGGACTTGAAATACTTTTCGGCCCCCTCTCCTGTTGAGAAATGTTTATTAATTACTAGCGATACATAATGTACATTATAGCTTACCAGAAATTTTAAAGGCAGAGCCAATTTCTTCCCAGCCCTGTGCTTTTTTAGTATTTAATTTAAAATCGGCATCCGCTTTATCATATAAATACGGCCGTTCCATTAATAAATTAATAAATTTTTCATCTTGGGAAGTTCCAGCCATAATCAATTGAAAAGAAATTCTGTCTAAAAACGCACACACAACTATTCACAAACCTGCACAACAAACGTATCAACACACTTGTAAAAAGCGATTGAAAGTAAGGTTATGCCGCGGTGCAAACTGTAGGCGCGAACTCCAATCTTCAAGGCTGAAACGAGAACTGTAACCGTCCTGTAACTGTTTATGTTGTTGTCGTATAGAGGGCGCGTTGGATTTACAACTAATTGCGACGTTAATTTTAAGCTTTGTGAATGTTCGTTTTCCAAAATCTTTTGGGTGTAATTGCCATGTTAATTGCGAATTATAATTTGGACATTGTGAATGAAGCTTAAATGCTAACAATCCCTGATTTCCAGCTTTCACTGTAACATATACACCTTTGGTAAGAGCTATTGACCCTTTTCCTGTAAGATCGTAAAACTTCCATAGTGACTTTCCGTGCGCACGCATCTTCAAAACCACGTTGGAAATTGTATCCGGCACTCCGGCAGCAGAGCAAAGGCCTGTGACACAGTATAGAGATCAATCAGTAGAGACAACTCGTGTCGGCGCCTTTGATCTTTCTGACCCGAGCCGTCATCGGTGGTCGTTGGCCAAAATATTTCTAGATGTCGCCACCCAATTTAAAAAGGATCACAAACGCTTCACTTTAAAATTGATTCGTGTACACAATTTACTACACTTTGTGCAAATCAAGTTTTGGAAAAGACTTAAAAATAGTGTAATAACAATAACATTTTGTAACTAGTTGATCTTAGAAACCACACAGTCTATTATAATAAATAATTAATTAAGCGCCCTATAACAGAGATGCCGTGTTGAAATTTAGATGTGTCCCGCTTCTCTGATTACGATTTTACGTTTCATTAATTTCTTTTTCATGATGGCTGTAAGTGGTTGTAAATTTCAACGTTATTAGAAAACGCTAATATATGTACATTTAATTTTTTTACAAAAAAAATTAAACAGTACATAAACAATGGTCCTATGAAAACGTGAACAACGCTTTTTAAAATGTCTCTGTGAAAATTACACTTAACGGCAATAATTACACCGGAAGATCAGCCTTAAATCATCAAAACCAATGCAACTAAACTGCCAAATTTCAAATATTTCACATTAAAGGCACTAGACAACCAAAGTACCGCAGTGCAATGTCCCAATGTGTAAGAAAGAGAAGTACCTTGCGTTGCGCGCCCTCATACGGTCACAAGACAAACGACCACCCATGAAAACGGGTCAGTAAAAATAGCGAGTTGTCTCTACTGATTGATATCTATACTGTGCCTGTGACAACAAACCGCTTTGACAGAATGCAACCGGCTACACATGCGTAATCTGTCGCTCATTGGTTAATTTAAACTTGGCGCTCCAAAAATCTGACTTCGCCTGCGCGATGTTGTCTCACTCTGTATCATTGGAATTTATATAATGTCTACTCACTTTGCTTACAGGAAAAGGGTCAATTGTAGAGTATCCCATTGTACTTTGGTATCCGTTTTCGAAATTCACATATGTCAAGAGTCGCAAATATTCAGAACAGACTTGTCAATTATTTGATTTTTAAACTGGTCTCAACAAGGATATACTTACAGGGAACGGTTACTTATTATGACGTTTTGCATGTTTTTGGTAAGACAGCTTAAAAGTGAAATAGTTTTGATTTTAATTACTCCATAATAATAATACTGACGGTTCTGAATTATTAACTAAGTTTTATTTTAGAATTTATATTTTTAACGCTCGTTGTAATTAAGTTTTTTCCCAGATTTACATAAAACGAATTACGATATTCAATGTTCAGTTATTGATACTGTAGTTAATTATTTTTTTCTACCGCCCACGTTTTTTGGTTTTCTAATAGAGCTATTAACAGTCTACAAAAAAGGTGATAAGCTTAATCCAGCAAACTTTCGACCTATTAGTTTAACATCGTTGCTTTGTAGATCTATGGAAAAAATAATTAGCCAACAACTAACTGAGTTTTGTGTGAACAATAATATCCTCAAGCCCAACCAGCATGGTTTCCTTCCCGGTAGATCTACAATATCTAACCTTCTAGAGTGCCTTAACAAGTGGACCAAGGCTGTAGACAATAATCAGCCAATAGACATTGTTTATCTTGACTTTAAAAAAGCATTCGACCGTGTTCCTATTCGCAGATTACTACTAAAACTGGAACATTATGGTGTTCGCGGTGACTTACTGAGGTGGATAGCGGAATTTCTTCAAAATCGTACCTTTACAGTTAAGATTCTCACTGAAAATTCACAAGCTACACCGGTTCTTAGCGGTGTTCCACAAGGGTCCGTGCTTGGACCCATCTTATTCAACATCTATGTTAGTGACCTTGCCTCCTTGTTTAACTGTTCATCCGCGTTGTTTGCTGACGATACAAAGATATTTTCAAATCCTCTCGAGAATCCTGATGCTCTTTCTAATGATCTCAAACTTGTGGAAGATTGGTGTGACAAGTGGTTACTATCCACAAATGAAGCTAAATGCACTGTATTACATATTGGGTCAAACAATCCACATATATCATATTATCTTAACGGAATTGAATTGCAATCTGTAAAACAACAAAGAGATCTAGGTGTTATTATATCAAGTGACCTCAAATGGGCATCCCACATTGGTGCTGTGGTTAAAAAGGTTAACTCGCTGCGGTACTTAGTTGCTATCAGTTTTAAAAATATTTATCCTGCTTTGCTAGAACGCATCTATAAATCGTATGTCAGACCAATTTTTGATTATGCCGCCCCAGTGTGGAATCCTTACTTTGCTGGTGATATCCATGTCCTAGAACAGGCACAACGACGTTTCACTAAACTGTCGCCTGCTTTAAAACATCTCCCCTATGAACGACTTACTGCCCTTCACTTATCTTCTTTGACTGCTCGACGAATTCGTGGCGATTTAATTGAGACATACAAAATATTGCATGGTCACTATACGTGTCATTTATCATTGTTTGTACTCAGCACTAATCTACACCTACGAGGACACAATCTGAAGCTAGTACGTGAACGGTTTTACAAATTGTGTAGGCAACACTTCCTCACAAACAGAATACCAAATTTGTGGAACACTCTGCCGGATGATGTTATCGCAGCCTCGTCACTCAATGCCTTCAAGAACCGACTTGACGCCCACTTTTCTAATTCTTTCTAGCTCTTTTTAAATTTTCATCATTATTGTATTCATATTTATTTATATTATCTTGTATTAATGCACACTCTGACTTTGGAATGAAGTGCATCGGCATTTTGCCGCCTTACTTCTACTTCTATAATAATAATAATAATAATATTAACGCACGCAAATGACGTCACAGCAGTTCGTTAATAGCCGAAAGGCGTTCTTTAATAGATCTGGTGTAATTTAGATCGGTAAGATTGGTAGCCATGACGAGAAATGTCAGGTGAATGTCAGTGGTAAATGTAAACTTAAAATTTCCCATATTTCCGGACGCGTAACTTCTTCACAAGACATTTTAACGAATTTTAAATTACAAAAACTCGAATTGATTCGAATTACAGTTGTTGTTGTGAAAATTCGAACCTCAAATATTTCGTGGTTAGTGTCAGACCAACCCATCACCAACCACGACAAAAGTCCCCAGATTAAAAAAAATGCAAATTTTAATTAAATTTTAGGAAAAAACGTGTGCGGTAGAAAAAATAGTATAAATAACTCGTTCATAAGGCCATTGAGGCACTCATCCTTTATATAACTCGCGGCTTCGCCGCTCGTTCTATAAACTTGGATTCGTGCCTCAATATTTGCCTTATGAAACTCGTTCTTTAATATACTATAATGTTATATCACCCAATCTTGATCTTTTTCATTCATCTCTATTGCAATTGTAACGACATTCTTTGCATGCTTACATAAGCTCAATCATTTAGATATTGACGCATTTGGACATATATTTTCTATTTGACAATACATCTCATTTATATTATGGGAGGACCCAAACTGACCCGGCAATGACCGGCATTCAGGCAACACTTCTATCATTAGGGGTACTAAAATCAAGTAGTGTTATGCATTGATTAGCATAATGAAACAATTTGTAGATCCCAGAATTACACCATACACATTTTTCAGCTATTATTCTCTAATTTCACCCCATCCCCAAGAACCTAGCGTTACTACCGATCATTTATCCGCGCATCACTTGAAACGTGCCCTACACTACTCTGACCTACTGCTGCTAACCTATGCTTTTTATTTCAACGGTCTATGCAGTGGCAGCTCCTCGGGGTGGGCAGGGTGGACAATGCCCACCCTGTTTTATTGTTTACGATGCAAAGTAAAATATTGTTTTTTTTTTCTTTTTTTAATTTTTTTATATGTGCTACACAAACAATTATCGTTATAAACATCACTTAAGCCAACCGATTTTCTTCATTACATCCCGCAGTTTCCGCAACTGAGCAATTGCAGTTGAAAAAAAGTGCGGCAGATCTCGGCGCTATACCGTTCATATGAGGATGGGCTAGCCCACCCTGGTTCACCCTCTTGATTGTAAGTAACGACATACGTTCGGTTTTCTGTGTACGTGATTGAGAGTAAAGAATTCGAAACGCACGTTGCTACATATCCGCGTCAGGTGGGGCACGGACGCTCTGCCGTCAATGTATATCTCAAACGCTGCAGAATCGGATTTCTGATATTCGATTCAAAGATTAAATAAATGAATTTCAATTTTTCTGGTCCTTTTGTATTGTAAACGTATAGAGGTAGTTATTTTTATTACTCTATTGAAATATGGGTAAGCTGGTAAGGAAAATAATGATTATGCGAAAATTCTTGAATGCTATTGTTGTAGAAAATAGCGACACCATAATAATTAATAAATAGTTTTTCATACCAAATGAAAACTCGTAGTAAC